GTCAAGAAGAGTCGTCACCTGTTCCATGATATTCATATAAAGTTTTTTCTCTTTTTTCGCAATTGTCATATTGAAAACTCCGAATGGTACGGATTGGCTGCCCCCAAAATATTTAATTCTGCTCATGCTCTTTCAATTCCATTGGGGCTATTTGCTCACCCCTTCCTGCTGGGCCCTTTCCGGCTATATTTATCCATATACCCACTCCTAGTTTCAGCACGCAAACTTAGTTAATGCCTTCGTAAGCACCCCCGAGCCAGCGCCTGGGGTTCGTGTTTAGATCAAAGAGGTGCCGCCTGCACCCGCCCCTGTTGCGTTGCGGCCTCGGCAGTAGGATTATCTTCAGGGCCTTTTAGCAACTTTGCGTGCACCCTCCCCCTTTTTTCGGCTATCAGTCGGTAACGGTTCACATGTATCGGGTCGGCATCTAGCCCCTTTTTCTCCTTACCACAAACACTAAATTGAATTTTGAGTCAATCAATCTTGTGTGCCATCCCGGGTCCAATTATTATTTTTTTACTCACTGTTACGATTGACCTGTAAATAAAATAAATAAATAAGATAGGGGCAACTATGTCACTGCGCGTTATATTTGACTTCAAGAAAGCTTTTGACTCGATTTCTATACCACTCTTACTGAGCAAGATTCAAGGTTACGGTATCCAAGGCTGTCTCTACAAGTTTCTCAAGTCCTTTCTCACGGGGCGCTCCCAGGTAGTAGGAATTAATGGCGCCATGTCTCGAATCTATAAGACAACAAGTGTCCCCAGGGATCATGCTTAGGTCCACTTATGTTCTTGGTTTTTGTGGACGACCTATCGAAGTTTGCCTGTAGGGGTGCAATGCTCATTGTATGCGGACGACTCCAAAATATTCACAGTCAACAACTGTGACCTACTGCAGGAAGCCTTGTATCCGCCTGGTGTAAGAAGTGGGAGTAAGAGGTCCCGACAGAGAAAACTTTTGTTATGGGCTTCGGAAAAAAGCATCCTAAGGTACACTTTACTCTAGACGGTTGCAGACTTGCGTACCCAGAATCTATTCGAGATCTGGGTGTTACATACACCGCTGCTTTCGACTACAGTTCGTATATCCATGCTATGGTGTTGAAGGCCAAGAGAAGAGCAAATTTTATACTCAAAGCTTTCAAGTCAAGAGACCCCGTTATCCTTTTCAGGCTGTTCTCCATATACGTTAGACCCCTGATGGAATACTGTACTCAGCTTTGGTCACCTTCCCACGTTTATTTAGTGCAAGAAATCGAAAACGTACAAAAAGAGTTTACTGTTTCATGAGGAAGGGCTTATTTGGAATTCCATACCACATGCGCTTGAAGAAATTGAATGCTCAAACACTGGAATTACGTAGAAGAGTTGCAGACCTTGGTTTTTTGTACAAAATGACCACAGGCGAAGTCGATCTGCAGCTAACAGACTTCTTCAGAATCTCTCCCCTCGTGAGGCATCACAAGAGGTAGTCCCTTCCACCCACGACAGTTATGCTATAGTATACCTCCTCGGTTCCCAGCTACTGTAACATTTGCCATCTATTGCAAAGGATTCAAAAGATTCTGGGCATAGTATAGTGTCAGTGAATTCAATCAATCTTAATTGCTGTATATCTATTTATACATACATATTTATATTTCTTTTCAATTCTCTTGTTTTTTCCCTATTTCCGATTCTCTTGGAATTTCTTATTTCATTTTTCATTTCCTCCTAACCGCTGCTATTTTAGATCATTTTAATCAGTCTTCCAGTCACAGGTGCTCTACTATGTTCTCAAACACCCTAGTAGCTCCGTCATGCCGGGAATTCTGGACGACTTCTATCTATTGATTAATTTATTAATTTTTTTAGTAATTTTTTTCTGAGCAAAGAGAAAAGAAACTCTGACTGTATCTGTAACATAGTTGTAGCTCCACCCCCTGATGATTGCTTGTCTCTAATAGGAAGAAATAAGACTCCATAAGCTCTGTACTTTCATCCCTTCAAGTGCCGTACAAATGCTTTTGTCTCCCTTGAGCAATACGCTATCCGCTGATTTTATTCATATGGACCGTTATTAATAATATAGCTCCATCCAACGTCAACCACTTTTGCGCACCAGTAGATAGCCTTCGTAAGCACCCCTGAGCCAGCTCCTGGGGTTCGTGTTTAGATCAAAGAGGTGCAACTTGCACCCGCCCTTGTAGTGCTGCGGCCTCAGCGTCGGTTATTTTCAGGGCTCGGTGGCTAGTGGTTCTCTGAAACTAAGTGCCTTTCGGTCTACGTGCATGAAATATTGCTCAGTAAAAAACAAGTGTTACTAACTGTTGTACCCTTTATGGAGTTTTTCTATTTCTATTCCTATCAGAAAGTTTCTCTCTCAGATAATCTCACCTAAGTCAATCGTATGTGAAATACTGGATAATTACTGTGTATTGCCCTTCTGTGATTGACCAAGAATAAATAAATAATAGGCAGTGGACAACTATCCCCTTACGTTTTCAATAACGATGTGGTCTGAGGGGTCGCCAGCCAATCCAGAACTCAAAACCCCTCGCGTTTCTAAATGGATTACGTGTAGGGTACCACCCTCGGGCTTGCTGCAAAACAAGTGTATTGTCTTTTTCTGGCATCTCAAAAAAGATATAAGTCGAGATATCCGAAGCACTTCAACCCTAAATTGTTACCTGGCATGCTGGCAAGCCACTCTCCATTTTTTCTTTTGAAATCACCCCAGACAATTGATGAGCCTCCCCCGAAATGTCTGAGTACAGCTGCGGGTAAGGACGAAGGTCCCTCAATTAACAACGAGATCCACCCGAACAGCCAAAAATAAGCTTTTTCTCACCAGTCCAGGTTTTCTTGAGGGAATTTCTCAAAGATCGTCTTCTATTCTTATCTTATAATTTTCGTCCGCAAAAGCGCTGTCTGTTCAGGGTGCAACGTCCTATGTTGTGATCCCATTTTTGAACGGGAATTCCAACCTTGCAAAGCTGTCTTGCGCATCCATACACGAATCTTTTGGGGTATTCTTGTGATGTATTGAACAAGTAACGATTGAAGACGACCCTCAATCAATGTTGAGAGCTTAGCATCAGGATTCTCGGATTTCTCTCCCAACAAACGAGGACGCACGACCGGTTGACGTGCGATTTCGCAATTGGAAGGTCCAGCAACATGAAGGAACCCACATCTCAGCTTGGGCTCTTTATAACTTAGGGTGTACACATACTTTTGATACAAAAAAATTTAAAAAGTAGTTTGCTAAACTAGAACGAAATCTTTTGCCGAAATTGTCACTGTCATGTAGGTTATCGACCACTAGGAGTTGAATGGTGAAGGTTTCATGACACAAAAGCCTTTAGCTGACTCCTGAGAATCGATTAGGGTGTCCACATACTTTTGGTACGCATATAGTAGTGGAATTCCGATGAAGAGAAAGTGTAATGGTCATGAAAAACCAAATATTACAATTTTTTCTCTGTGATGGTGTTAGAACTATCTTTGACGTGGTTTTCAGCCGTGCGAGGTTGTATTTACTCCTTTTTTTCTACATGGTTATGAGAATAAGGAAACGGAAGAATGGACCGAGCTGCCAATTCCATAGCACTTAGAAAACCTCTCTAAACTGGAGCATATTCGACTAGGTGATCCATATCATTGATAATTATGCAATAGTGTGGTCATGAAATGACAATAAACAAAGCCGAGAAAGAGGATGACTTAGGCAGCACGCGTTAACGCGTTACACTGTCGTCAGTGTGTCACACTTTCACCTATCTGGAGGTACAGAAGTATAAGTTCGATTGAGTTGTTGTATCACGGTTGAGTGCATTGCCATGGAGGGAAAGTTTCAGTTGTTCTGGCTGCAGTGGACCTCAAAATGTTTCTTGACGCTGTTTTTCAGTCAAAACATGCACCACAGGCTCGCCACACGAGTTCGTCTGTGTTTTCTGCTGCTACTTTTCCTCGTGCACGAGTTCATGAGAATATGAAGAATTCTAGGGATGAGTCGAACCGTCAAGCTCGTAGTACTCAAAGAACCTTCGCTGGAGTGAACCATTTTTGACTATTGTGTGAACCTCTCATTTATAGTCATATTTTTATGTGGTCAATAGAATAAATTCGAAAAATACAAAATACTTGGTACTTGCGTGAAAAAATGATATGAGAACGAAATGCATGTGCCGTCGTCACGTTTCAAAGTTATTTCACCTTTTTTTCGAAACATCTCAAAATGAAACATCCAAAACCGCAAGAACTTTCTGATAAAATACCTACCTTGCCCCTGAGTATATCATAAATATCAACGTTGAGGACAGCAGCGCTCCGAAGCAGAACGAGAAGAAATACGAGGAAACTCTGGCGGGATTGCCAGTCTCATCGCTGTGCAGTACCAGATAGTTGATTGGTGTGAGCATGTTTCCATACAAAAATCCAACAAACATTGTTAGTAGAATAGCTCTAGACAGAAAGCATGGATATGAGAACATTGATACTATAGCACTGCTTATACCGTATCTGTTTCAAAGGAATACTGCAACAACATAATGTAGATTCTATTATACTTTTATTGCAATCCATTACCGCTTGATGAGCAATGCCAAGCACCGGATATCATATCTTTTTAGCCCTTTTTATTCACGAGCGTATTCAACCCGTCGGCGTTCTACCTAGAAGGACTGGTGCACGAGTCACTACTCGGATGCTACTGTGAATTCTACATCAGTCTGCAAAAAAGACGAAGCAGTGGAAAGTCACTCAAATTTCATGAGTAGTTCCTGAATCCAGACTCACAGGTCGTCAACGTAAAAACCAGGTTTTCCTTCACGAACTCTAGGAAGAAATCAAAGAACAAGTTCTCAAATAGGTTCTGATCTATTCCAAATGCACCGCGACTTGGGGCTAGTGTAGAAAACTCACCAGTACTTTGCAGAATTTTTATTGATACACACAAGCTCGCCCTCTGCCTCCAAATAAACTCACATTGTTCTTTTGAGAGTGGAGGTGTGTTCATCCACAACTTCGAAGGATAATCGTCTGTTCTGGCTGTAATACTTTAGAAATTGATAGTATCGTAACAAAGAACAATCTCCCTTCTGTTGTTCAGCATTTCTGTTGATGCTTATGGAGGCCGTCAGTACCGGAAAAGAAAATCGCTTGTGGTTCGTTCATAATGCAGGGCGTCCCAAAATTACTTGTGGCTGTTTATTGCAGTGTCTTTTAGACTATTAGATGCAGAATGATAATTGAATCTGAACATAATTATACTAACATCATACACAACAACATGCAACAACCAGATTTCAAAATGTCCTCCACCTGCACGAATTCAGGCCCGGAGTCTCTTCTTGCATCCTTCCACGTTGCACGCAGGTGTTCCTTATCCAATTCTTCCCAGGCTTCCTTTGATGCTTGCAATGGTTGCAGATTCGTACGACGAGCTCGACATGCCTTGCTCTCAATCCCGGATTAGACTGAGAGTTCAAGTGATTAAGATTAGGAGGTAGGAAGGCCATTCCTTTTTCGCGACGAAGTTGGGCAGCTCGCAGCTTGCACTTGTCTTGAAAGAGCTTGGCCCGTGGGCTGTAGCACTGTCCCGCTGGAAACACCACGACTTGCCCCAAAGTGGGACTTGGATCAAGGCTTCAATACGTTCTCCAATATGCACGTCCTTGCTGGTCTTCACACATGAATCGGCCGACGCCGTCTCATTGGCGGCAACTCATCCTAAAATAATTACTGATGCCGGCTTAGGCCAACAATCTTTCCTCGTGATGGCACTCCCGATAATTCTAAGAATGTGATCGCTTTGTCGCTTCAACACCGGCTCTACAGCGAATATTTTCTTGTCAGAAAAAACGATTGAGAGTTGCGTAGTCGCCAGTGAAGCGCGCTAGTACTCTCCCAACTTTTTGACCTCTTTGCTGCATGTTGCTTTACAGAATGAAGCGGTCCTTTTGCATGTACTAGGATTGCCAGTTCCGTCAGCTGTGCACAGCTGACGGAACGTTGCCGCGAGTACCGCACCCCACTGTGTCTTCTGTTTATCGATTTCAAAAAGGCCTTCGACACAGTGGAGCATGAGAGTGTATACAACGCCATGCGCGAGTGCGGTATCCCCGAGCCCTATATTAGAATCACGCGGCAGTGCAACACGGACTGTTATACCGATATCAAACTCATAAAAACACCGGTCCGTGTTCAAATCCGGCGCGGCGTCAGACAAGGCGAGGTTACGTCCCCGAACTTGTTCGCTATTGCGCTCGAGAACATCATGAGGCGAATCTCGTTGCCCGGAGGAGTGAACATCGACGGCGTTCGCTTAACGCATCTCCTCTTCGCTGATGACTGTGTTCTGATAGGCGAGGACCCCGCCGACATTGCGCAATCCCTGAGCCTCATCAGGCAGGAAGCCGGCAAAATCGGACTACAAATTCATCCCGGCAAGACTCAGTGGATGCACAACGAACAAGTTCAGTACCAGCCGATCCTCCTAGAAGGCCAGGAGATCGAGCGAGTCTCCTCTTACGTATATCTCGGTAAAGCGGTCAACATGAATAACGATCTCACGCTCGAGATTAGCCGACGCCGCAGAGCGGGCTGGACCGCGTTCAATAAACTTCGAGATGTACTAACTTCTAAGCACGTCGACCCCGGGGTCAAAGCTCACGTCTTCAACTCGCATGTTCTTCCCGCGATGACCTACGGGGCGGAGACGTGGAGCACCACAGTCTCTGAAGAGGAGAAACTCGCAGTCACTCAGCGAGCCATGGAGAGGGCCATGTGCGGGGTAACGCTCCGAGACCGCATACCCAATGACACCATCCGCGCTCGTACGATGGTGAAGGACGTCGTCGATGCCATCTATAATTCCAAGCGGAGGTGGGCCGGTCATGTGGCTAGACTTACCGATGATCGCTGGACGAAGAGAGTGACTGACTGGTACCCAAGGGGAAAAACAAGGCCCAGAGGCAGACCCCCCACCAGATGGGCAGACCCTCTCGTGAAGATGTACGGCCAGTTGTGGCGCAGAAGAGCCCGAAGCAGAGCGACCTGGAAGATGTGCGACCTGCGTTTCTGGCGTGCCCGGGACGAATAGCGGTCGAGAAGTAAGAGAAGTAAGAAGTAAGTAAGGATTGGCAAGGCTGCTTATCCTCAGCGATGAGGCCCATCGATGAATTCGATATATTCGGCGGCCTTGCCACCTTATGGAGCACCCTGGATTGCTAACCAAACATTTCGATAATTCTATCCGTGAAACGCTGACCATTCTTCCTTGTACAGGCTTGTGAATGAGTGTTCTTATTCTCCTGCATCGTTTGATGGCCATCTTTACTGTGTTCACGGGAACATCAAGAAATTTAACAATGTCCTACGATGCAGTCTCTTCTCGCGCACGCGAATGATCGCAGGTCACCTTGGATCACCTCTCGCCATCTCAGAGATACTGGCAGTTTCCCCAATAACGATGCAGTTCACAAGAGAACCTACCTGCACAACTATTTTAGCGCGCGGAAATGAGAAATAATTGATATAACTTTTCTAATGATCTTATAAAATTTGGCGCAAGTATTTTTAGGACACCCTGTACAAATTTCATCAGTTTCGCGGCGCACGCAGACGCGAGCATCACGCGGTATCAGCTATGGAGTAAAACAGGACTATGAATAGATCTATAGTACGGATGAAGAACTCCATCCACTTCGGTGCTACCCACCAATAGCATTTACCCTTCATTACTTCGCCAACCTTCATCCATTTTTTTCCAGGTTTCGGGGTCTTCTCTGAAGCTATCTGTGTTTCGTGGCAAACTCGCCCATGTTAGCCACGCCTCATTCACCGATACCTGCTGACCTCTTCCGAGCAAAAAGCAAAAAAAAGGCAAAAAAGGCAAAAAAGTCACTTTGCACTTGGCGCACTTCACCATTGTTTTCTTGTACAGGATGCCGCTACAGATGAATGCTTGACTGCAAAATATTCGGGTGTGGAAAGCGTCCAGTTATGGAATTTAGAGGTGGGAGGTGGTCTGGAAAAGAAAAAGAAAGCAAAAGAAACCCCCGACCACGCCCTAAATAGGAACCTCTTTTCTTTCACTCGTGTTTGTGTTCGCGTGCTACTTCGTACTACTATTTCGAGCGTTACACCAGATTGAGCGCGGTAGCGTCGCGTTTGCATTGGCGCGCACAATCTTCTACTCGGCCCAGCGCGGATAGACCAAGGCAGACTACTAATTTTCAAATGAGTGTAATTCTGTTCAACGTCAATATTTTTCAAAACGCTAAGTAGATTTGTAATCTACGAGACTGCTTGTTTCAGAAAACCACCACGATTATGCAGTATCTCCAGAACTCTTTTAGTTATGGGGTAGAGAATTAAGAATTCACAGAAATGCGCACTTCTTCATTTGAAAGGTTGTAATTTCTTCAAATAAGAAAGTGTGAGAAGTGGTAAGAAAATTTTGAAACTCAGATTGTTTTCTTTCTAAAAAGTACTCAAACTTTTGTAAAGTTTCATTTCTTCAAAAAATCGCCCCGTTGGACCGTTTTTTGTGCACAACCGGGTTTTTTGGCTTTCAATGACTATAACTTTCTTCAGAATAACCTTTTGCAATTCTTGTCCCCTGGGATAAACTAGAAGGTTAGAGCTTTCTAACGAATACTTGAACTCTTTCAAAATTGATGGAGTCAAAAAATCGCCCCGTTGGACCGTTTTGGGGAAATCGCGGACCGATTTTTGGCAGAGCGCTGGTTTTTTGGCTTTGAACTGTTATAACTTTCTTCAGATTCAACTTTTTGCAGTTCTTGTCCCCTGGAAGAAACTAGAAGGTTAGAGCTTTCTAATGAATACTTGAACTAGTTTCCACAATGACCCGTTCAAAAAATCGCTCCGTTGGACCGTTTTTTTTTCATGAATTTTCGGAGCTACTCTCCTGAAAACGCGAGTTTTTGCTACTCAACTCTCTTCAAACTAATTTTATAAGGAATAATGATACCATGACATCGCACAAGCTTTGTGCTTCATAACAGATACTAAAACCTTTTAGGAAGTCGCGACAGGCAAATATTTTTCCCAAACTTTTCTTGTAAGCCTTTAGCAGTCAATCTACCCAAGTGGTCACTCTTTTACTAACTTAGGTCCAGTTTGAAGACATTGGTTCTTCAGAAGCATATTTGTGTACGTGAACAGTCAAATATGGACACTTCTGCAGTAGACTCTTCTGCTCTGAGGTGCGCCATGCACTCGTTTGTGGTTAGTAGTTGAGAAGCGCTCGAAAGTTATGCCTCTCACCTACGTATTGCGACGTTGACCTTGCAAATACGACCTTCCCCCTCTTCGGTCGACCGAATACGACCCCCTCGTTGGACTTTGTCTAATGGACGGTTGGCCTTGATGGAGAGAGCGACTCTTTGTTGATTCATTGCTCATACAGTGTGTTTTATGTCGATCATAGATTTTGAATCGGACATCCTTTACGAATCCTGCCTTGGAATTAGTAGCTTCCGACTATTCCTTTGATTGTCGGTTTGTTGCCGATTGGTATTACGTTGCTTGGCTATGGTCCTACTTAGTTACTAGAGCCAATGTCTCAGCAATTGGAATTTCCGTTTAGGGAGACGCTATGTGAGCGAGACAGGAAGCATTTCACGATTCATCGTACAGTGTTATTTAAATGTTTTCGAAAACCAACCTTTGTCTGCCAAGGCGCAGGTCGAACTTTCATTCGATGGTGCTTTATCGTGGCGAAAAAGCATCCACTGAAAATTTCAGGCAATTAAGCGAGAAGAACTCTTTAGTGGTTATAAATTGGACTATACAAACCAGGCTTCACAGAGCCTCCACCTACCCTATGCATACTGTTCCAACACCGATAATGTTCATGACGTTATCATGAGGGAGCTGTTGTGGATTCCCCAGCAGACCGAATCGCGTCACAGCCCATCCGGTGACGCAAGTGACGGTGTTCCATAGTAATGAGCCTACTGCCATACCTATTCCATCCATAATGTAGATCGTGAGCGCGTTACCTAGAATGACAAGTTTGTCAGTTGTTTGGAGCCATAGAAGAAGTTTTCCATATACTCACCGATGGCGAAGAAAACTCCCGAAAGCATGGCAAAAGGAAACACCGGTGGCCAACCAGTAACACCGAGAACAATGGCACCAAACAGTGACTGACCAATGCACATCATCCATTGGAAGTACAGCCCTGGATAATATTCATCTTTTGAACCAAGCTAGCAGAGTCTTTAATTTTATTCTTCTAGCTTACCGTCTCCAGTTTCGAACCAGCGAACAGGTACATACGTAGAGCCGTAAGTAATAGCCGACACCACTGCAGCACCTACACCAACGACAACATCTTGCTGCATGCCAGGTGTGGTCACTCGAAAACATGGCAAATACATAGCGCATTAGATGGCGATAGAGCGCGCAATGATAAAGAAAAATGCTTAGGTGTGATCGATCCCCGACTTTTTTACCACTTGTGGTAGTTGAATAATTAGGAAAAGGATTTGAGTACCGAGCAGCCGATCTCATCATCAATTTACA